TGGTATAGGGTTTCCTGCCTGAGCAAGGGGTTGGACTAGATGACCTCCAAGGCCCCTTCCAACTCATTCTGTTATTCTAGTGTCTGTTCAAAGTTATAATGGCACTGAAAGAAATGACTTATGATCGTTTTTAAAACTGACTGATGCAGCCTCCCCGTGGTCATGTGATCAAAAGTCAGACGCTTGGCAACTGATTCATATTTATGATGGCTGCAGCATCCCGGAGTCATGTGATTCCCCTTGGGAAGGGATAGGCAACCTTGGCTCTTTTACGACTCGTGGACTTCAACTCCCAGAATTCCTGAGCCAGCATGGCTCAGCTTGGAAACCTCTCCCTTTCCCCTCAGCATGGATGGCTCAGGAATTCTGGGAGTTGAAGTCCACGAGTCATAAAAGAGCCAAGGTTGCCTACCCCTGGTATAGGGTTTCCTGCCTGAGCAGGGGGCTGGACTAGAAGACCTCCAAGGTCCCTTCCAACTCTATTAATCTGTTATTTATTCTGTGTTCGTATTTTGAAGTTTACTATGTAAGTTTCAGGGCTCACATCCAGATGTGATTGGCTCTACACTGGCCAACAGTTATAGTGTTCTGGGTCATGTGACCACAAGTTATGATTTTTTTTTTGCCGATTTCCACCTTTTTTTACTGGTTTCTGGCAAAACAATGTCAATAGGAATATATTGATTTTCTTAACAACCACTACAAAAACGTTGTAAAATTGGGTCCAATCAGGTGGATACCTCAACATAGAGTGGAGATTTAAAAGGTAAAAGTTTCCCTGTCCAGCCATATCTGAGGGAGCCAGTGTTGTCCGAAGACATTTTCCATGGCCATGTGGCCAGCATATCTATATGCCAAAGGAACACGGAACACTGTTACCTTCCCACCAAAGTGGTACCTATTTATCTACTCGCATTTGCATACTTTTGAACTGCCAGGTGGGCAGGAGAGCGGAGATTATTCACCTCAAATCCTGGATCTCTGGTAGACCATAAGATCAGAATAAGGGATATCAAGTTTAACGCATTGAATGCAACATATTTAAGGCTCAACCAGCCTAATTGTTAAATACATGTTTCCATTTATCATATTTTTTAAAAATATATATGTATAAATATTGTCTTTTCACAGTAAAACGATTTAAGGAGCCAAAAGAAGAGAGGCGGTCTTGGAGAATATGGTAAGATGATAGATGGATGGATGGATGGATGGATGGATGGATGATGGATGGGCGGGCGGGCGGGCAGGCAGGCAGGCAGGCAGGCAGGCAGGCAGATAGATATGATATATAGATAGATAGATATCTAGATAATGATAGATAGATAGATGATAGATGTTAGATAATGATAGATAGATGTTAGATAATGATAGTTGATAGATTATGAGATAGATAGATAGATAAATGGATATATAGATGAATAGATAATGATAGATAATAGATATAGATAATGATAGATAGAGAATGTAGATAGATAAGATAGCTAATGATAGATAAATAGATAAGAGATAGATAGATAATGATAGATGGTAGATAGATTATAATAGAAAGATAAATAGATAATGATATAGATAGATAATGGTAGATTATGATAGAAAGATAGATGATAGATAAATAGATACATAGATGGATAATGATAGATGATAGATAATGATAGATGATAGAAAGATGATAGATAAATACATATATAGATGGATAGATAGATGATAGATAAATAGATAATATTAGATGATAGATGAGATAGATAGATAGATAGATAGATAGATAGATAGATAGATAGATTAATAACTTCTAAAGTGAAATACAGTCATTTTTTTAAAATGAGAATATAAAGCTTTACAGATAGCCCTTGACTCACAACCTTTCCTTCAGTGACCATTCAAAGTTACAACAGCACTGAAAATAATCGACCCGTGACCGTTTTTCACGCAGGACTGTTGCAGCCTCTCCATGGTCACGTGATCAGAATTCAGATGCTTGGCAACTGGCATGTATTTGTGACGGTTGCCGTGTCCCAGAGTCACAGGATCCTCTTTTGCATCCTACTGACAAGCAAAGGGGAAGCCAGATTCACTTCACAACCATCTTGCTAACTTAGCATCAGTGATTCCCTTAACAACTGTGATGAGAAACGTTGTAAAACTGGGCAAAACTCTGTGAACAAACTATCTTGCTTAGCGACAGAAAATTTTGGCTCAGTTGTGGTCATAAGTCAAGGACTACCTGTATATACTGACATACATTTTTACCCTTTTTGTTTTATTATTTTTCCTTTTTCTGTTCTGTTGGATTAATAAAGTCCTCCCCCCAGGTCTTTATAACACTGCTATCTCTTGAATCCAAATTCTTTCAAGGTTTTATGACACTTCCAAGCAAGCCATTGGTGCTCTCTTCATCCATTTTGCCAACGTCTTCCTGTCTGACCTTACGGAAAGGGATCCCTGCTCTCTGTGAGTTTGGCTTTTGTGTATAAAGAGTTGTGTCTTAGACCCGTACAATCCTCCTAGATTCCTGGTTCGTAGCAAACCGTGGTTTGTTTTTGCATCTAAATTGGGAAACAGTGATGTGGAGACACCATGACTTTGCAGCAAACTGGAATCAATAATCAATTTCCTACTTCAGTTTCATGCATTCGTATTGATTGGATCTATACAGCACTCGGTATTGTTTGCAGCCCAAAGTGACTCAGTTCACATATGTCTTTTATTTTTTTATTTATGGAACGATATCTTGCCTTTATTGTTATTTTTATAAATAACACTAGGCAGTGAAGATGCCTAATACTCTTTTTTCCTCCTATTTTCCCCACAATGACAACCCAATGAGAGGATCTGGCTCAAAGTCACCCAACTGGCTTTCATGCCTAAGGCGGCACTAGAACTCACCATCTCCTGGTGATTGGCCCAAAGTCACCCTGCTGGCTTTCATACCTAACGCAGGACTAGAACTCACCAACTCCTGGTGATTGGCACAAGGTCACCCAGCCAGCTTTCATGCATAAGGCAGGACTAGAACTCAGAGTCCCCTGGTGATTGGCCCAAAGTCACCCGGCTGGCTTTCATGCCTAAGACAGGATTAGAACTCACCATTTCCTGGTGATTGGCCCAAAATCACCTGGTTGGCTTTTATGCCTAAGGTGGGACTAGAACTCACCATCTCCTGGTTATTGTCACAAGGTCACCCAGCCAGCTTTCCTCAGAACTCATAATCTAGTGATTGGCTCAAAGTCACCCAACTGGCTTTCATGCCTAAGGCGGGACTAGAACTCACCATCTCTAGGTTATTGGCCCAAAGTCACCGGGCTGGCTTTCATGCCTAAAGCGGGACTAGAACTCACCATCTCCTGGTAATTGGCCCAAAATCACCTGGTTGGCTTTCATGCCTAAGGCGGGACTAGAACTCTCAGTCTCCTAGCTTCTAGCCTAGTACTTCACCACTGGATCAGATCGGCTCTCTTAAAGTTTTCCTTGCTTCTCTCCTGGTTCTGCCACAGTTATTTGATGAACTTCATCTTGGATGCCACTTTGGGAATGTTGTTGATCTGGCTCGGGGTGAAAACGGTCTCGTGGATGGTGGGGTGGTGGCCGTGCCCCTCCCTCGCCTTTGGCGAGTATGGTAAGTCCAGGCTACTTCTGCAGCTGCAGATCGGCCCTTATTAGTTTCTTCAGAGATCGTATTAAAAGAAAAGAGCGGCAGGAAATTCTTTAATCGGGGAACTCGGTTACAGCATTACATTTCTAGATAGTCCTCGACTTACAACAGTTCGTTTTGCGACCGTTCCAAGTTACAACGGCACTGAAAGAAATAACTTAGGGCCCTTTCCCACACTCGTGACAGTTGCGGCCTCCCCAGGATCAGGTGATTGGCGATTTCCGCTCGGCAACGAGTTCATATTTATGACGGTTGTAGCATCCCAGGGGTCACGTGATCCCGTTTTGCACCCTTCCGACAAGCAAAGTCCACGGGGAAGCCAGATCCACTTAACGACTGCATGACTAATTTAACAACCGCAATGATTTCGCTTAACAATAAAGACCATAAAATGGGGCCAAATTCACTTGACAAATGTCTCACTTAACAACATAAATTTTGGGCCCAGTTCTGGTTGTTAACTAGAGGACTTTGCAACTTTTACATGGCTTTGCTCGCTTGCAGAAACGAGACCTTTGCCCACCCACTGCAGAGACACAAGGACTTTGGCCCATGAATTGAGGGGGGAAAATTCATTTTGCCTCCTAGCTGTTGCCAGACGCTTCTCTAAAAACTGAAAATTCAAAGGATCTTGTTTGATTTGAAACCCTCTGCCTGGAGAGGCCGCAAGACGGGGCTGGATTTTTAAATAGTCTCTTGCTCGTTGTAAAAAATGAGCAAAACGTTATAGAACATACAATTACAGAGTCGGAAGGGGCCCTGGAGGTCTTCTAGTCCAACCCCCTGCTCAAGCAGGAGACCCTATACCAGGGGTAGGCAACCTTGGCTCTTTTAAGACTGGTGGACTTCAACTCCCAGAATTCCTGAGCCAGCCATGCTGAGGGGAAAGGGAGAGGTTTCCATGCTGAGCCATGCTGGCTCAGGAATTCTGGGAGTTGAAGTCCACCAGTCATAAAAGAGCCAAGGTTGCCTATCCCTGCCCTATTCCATTCCAGACAAAGGGCTGTCCAGTCTCTTCTTAAAAACCTCCTATGATGGAAGTAAAAGAACGGAGTGAAGATTGACATAAAAAGCACCTTGTTAGGAAAAAGTGCAGGAGTTTGCAGAGAAAAGCAATCGACGAAAAATAATTGGTTGGAAAAGTCATAAAAAAAAGTATAGGAAAAAGTTATTGGTTATGATCTGCCCTAATCAGGCTGGGGTAGTGGGGGGGGGGTTAGGGCTGGACTGAGAGCAGTCAGACCCAGATTTGAGTCCCTCCACAACCACAGAAGCTCCCTGGGGGAATTTGGCCCATTCCTAAGATTCCCTAACCCAGGGCTTTTCAACCAGTGGTACGGGTACCACCTGTGGTACATTGGCACCTGGCAGGTGGTACGCGACCATCCTAGAAAAGTGGTAGCAGGGGAGGGGAATGAGCTGAACCGGTGGCAGCACCGCACAAGCCTGAGCAAGAGAGACGGCTGGAGCTGCAGGGCTGTCGGGGCTCAGCGGAAGTGCCAGGATCAGCGCCAGGCTCCAGCTGGAGCTCAGCGCTGATCCTGGTGCTTCTGCTGAGCCCAGAAGAAGCACCAATCAGCTGGAATGTTGCAGCATCTCCAGGGTCTTGTGATTTACATTCAGATGCTTGGCAACTGATTCATATTTACGACGGTCACAGTGTCCCAGGGTCATGTGAAGTGACCAAAACCTGCTGCAACCACCCAGCAGACGGGGGGGAGAATAAAAACCAAACACCCCCCACCCCACCCCCACTGCCAATCCTCAACAGAAATGCTCACAACAATGGAAACCTCGGACAGGAGGAAGAGCGCGGCCGGGTGGGCAGGCAGGTGTCTTGCTCGGCTGTGGCTTGGGGGGCACTTTTTTCAGTGCCATTGTAACATCGAACAGTCACTAAGCGAACTGTTGTAAGTCGAGGACTACCTATACTTTATCACTTTTTTCCTTTTTTTTTTTGTCATCAAGTTTTTGACACCTTGCTAGGCGACTGGTGGTACTCGGATATTGCCATATCCTAAAAGTGGTACAATGGGTGAAAAGGTTGAAAAGCCCTGCCCTAACCAACCTCGCAGGATTGGTGTAGGGAAAAAAGGAGTGTTCTGCCTCCTGTCCAGCTCCTGCATATAGACACCTGAAGGATCAGGTGAAAGAATGTACGTGCAGATGAGGCCCTGGGGATAAGAAGAAAGGTCATATGTGGAGATGACCACAACCCAGGTGTGGTTGTGATGGCCGTGGGAGTGAGGAAGGTGAAACATTTATTCTTAAACAACTTTGTGTTTAACAGCTTTTTTCCCCCTTTCTGATCACGGAGGGCTTTGCAGACAAGCTTGTTAACAGTTGACATGTTAGGGGGGGCTGCAGGGGATGGGGGGGTGTTGCAGGGACAATGAAGTGAGACAGATTCACAGGTTCGACCACTTAGCCAGGATGTTGGGCACACGAATAGCTCACTTATAAGAAAACCCAAAACCGCATAGCCAGCACAGGAAACTAGAAACTTTGCAATATTGATCTAAGGTGGCGTGACATTTAGCTATTTTGCATAGCAAGCGAGAAAGCTTGAAGGGCTGCAATCCAGGTAGCCAATCAATATTATATGTTATGCATGTATTATCTGGGGGGGGGAGGGAAAAGGGATGTGTTGGGTGGGCAGAGAGGGGTATGAAAATCACCTTTGGTTATAAAAACTGCTGTAAGACTGTAAACGGGGCCTCGGTAGCTTTCAAAGCCGAGGTCACTTTTATTCTGGGGAACCAAAATAAAAAGTCTGTTTTTCCGTATTTTGGGTTTGGTGTAATTAATTGGCTTCGACACCAAGCTAAGACCCAGTTTTGGGAACAACACACCCACGGAACCCAATTAATTTCTAGGGCTTTAACCAGAGACTTCCTATTCAGCAGTCAGCTTGGCTAGCCAGGCTGGCCTGTGGATGATGGGAGCTGTAGTACTCCAACATACACAGAGGACTGCAGGCTACAGCAACCTAGAACTAAGGACTACAGCAACCTAGAACTAAGGAGAAACTTCCTGACAGTTAGAACAATTAACCAGTGGAACAACCTGCCTCCAGAAGCGGTGAATGCTCCATCACTGGAGGTTTCTAAGAAAAGACTGGACAGCTGCTTGTCTGAAATGGTATCGGGTTTCCTGCCTGAGCAGGGGGTTGGACTAGATGACCTCCAGGGTCCCTTCCAACTTTATTATTATTATTATTATTATTATTATTATTATTATTATTATTATTATTATTATTATTATTATTATTATTATTATTATTATTATTAAGTTGCCCACCAATAAACCAAGTCTTTGGAGTCCCGGAGGCCCAAATGCTTTGAGTTATATAAGGCCCAGGTGCCCTTTGTTCGAATTATGCTGACATTTGCAGCCACGTCCCAAGTAAGGTTTTTAATATATGCCTGTAATTGTGCAGGCTAGAAACGGAGTTAAAAGAAATAATAAAAAGGAAGACACATGAAGAGTAGACAAAAGAATTTGCAATATTTTTTTGTCTTACATTGTCTCCATGTGCATAAATTGACTGAAATCTTGATTTAAGAAATTTTAGAAATGTAGTCCTCAACTTACAATCACTTGTTTAGTGACCTTCTGCGGTGAAAGTTAGAACGGCACTGAAAAAAGTGACTTATGACCATTTTTCACACTTATGACCAAAGGTCACGGGCTCAAAATTCGGATGCTTGGTAACTGGTTCATATTCAAAATTCGGATGCTTGGCAATCTCCTGATTTATGGAGTCTGCTGCAACTGAAATTCTCCAGATAAAGAAATTAAATTGATGTTAAATGTATATTGACTCATTCCCAGCCAGTTATGTTGTTTAAATCCGTGTAGATGATTAAATTTACAGTTTAATGGAAACACCACTACCCTTTCCATTCCTGTGTTAAATCAAGGCTTGCTGTATATCCGTGTAAGTATTTTTGTGTCCGTTGCTAAATTGTTGTTAAATTGCTTTTTCAATTTTCCATTTTACACAATTTCCTGATTTGGAATTTTAAAGCAAGCAGCTTCGCTTCAGCTGAGCCAACACCGTTTATTTTTTTTAAAGCATTTCTTAAGGTTTTAACTTTCAGAGGAGCTCATTGAGTATAATAACTTTTTTCCTTCTCTTCTTTTTTTTAATTTCTTCTTTTATATTTTGTATTTCGGGATTCGTATTCTAGTAAAGCCCCACCAGGGGGCAGCAGTTCCTACCAAGTAGGGATAATTCTGCAGGTCTAAATTTTCTTTAAAAATCCTGACAAAAGGAAAAGTCTGATGGAATTAGCAGAGATGGCTAAATTGACTGCTTTGATTAAAGGAGAGAAAAAAAAACACAGTTACTTTTGTTATTGCTTGGAAATTGGACTTTGTGCCTGAGGTGGAATGAAATTTTGATTTGGGGTTTTACCAATTGGATAGGTTTGTTGTTGTAGAAATGGCTAGTTTAAATAAAAAGTGGAAGTTTGATGCTATTCCCTTATTCTACTGCACCAAAGGGAAAAGTCAACATTTTTCCTTTCCCTTTGGCCTACTTTCCCCCTATTTCCTCTTGTGACTTTTTTGTCTTTTACATTATAAACTAATAACAAAAAAACAACAACATAAAAATCCTGACAAAGGGAATTAGCCAGAAAGGTGCCACAGAATGTCAGGACGTCTTCCTAGTCCAGTGTTTCTCAAAATTGACAATTTTAAGGCATGTGGACTTCAACTCCCAGAATTCCACAGCCAGCATAGTCCACATGTCTTAAAATTGTCAAGGTTGAGAAACACTGTCCTAGTCTCTCTTTGGTGTGAGTGAATTTTGAGGGAATTTTCTCCAGGTTTAGAAAGTGACTTTTGCACTTTATTCTGCACTCTGAGCTTGGTTGTTTTCTTGCAGATGTTTCATTACCAAACTAGGTAACATCATTGAGCAGGGGGCTGGACTAGAAGACCTCCAAGATCCCTTC